TTAGCTGAATTCCGCCCTAGAAAGTCATGAATTTACGAAATATAGATTTTTTGTGTTCATACGATAGATTAATGAAGAAGCTAACATAAAACTGATGGATTCTACACTGCACTGATATTTTGTTTAAAAAAAAGTTCATTAAAGAAGGAAACCTAAAATAAACTTTCTATTCAATTTGGGGGTCCTCCTGAGATGTGGGGCACGGGGCAACTGCCCTACATGCCCCTGCCTTAGTCAGGCTCTGGATGCGTGAATGGAGCAGTTATCCTGCTGGATGAGAAATGGGTTTTCTCTGAAATATTGCCCAAGAGTTGGGAGTGCAGCATTGTCTACATACATGTCAGAGTTCATGTTTTCAATCACAGGCACTAATGGACACAGGCCAAACTACGAGAACCACACAGCTATGCTTCCACCATCATAACAACCGGGTGTCCGGATACTTTTGTTCAGACAGTGCATATTTAGAAGGAATGACTTTTGTACCAAGCAATCCACAAAATAAATTAAAAAAAACAGCTTTGGAGGCGTTACTTTTTGACACAACTTCGTACAAAACATAACGTATAGTTTATCTAAAGTAAGAACTCCCTTAGCCATTCATCTGGATCCATAGCAATGACTACGGCAACGAAATATAACTATTTCAAGCAGGAGTGCGGGGTCGGCGAAAAAGGGTAATCTTTTTCTTCGGACTATTGCGTTAGCCCTAGAGCAGTGTTTCCTAAACTTACGACTTTTGTGTATCCATTCTAAATTTTTCGTAACGCTGTGTACCACTAATAAAAAAAAGAATGTATTTTTTACTTAAAAAATTGCACAAAAGTTAAAAATCACAACTAGCTGTTGACACCACTAATTATTAACTGTTAACTCTGCAGAAAATAGCCAATAGAAAAATACGTAATCGTAAATTTTNAAAATACGTATTCGTAAATTTTCATGGCTAGCTTTGTTTTTAAATAAAAATGTTTGAAATTTTCGTTTATTGCAAGATATTTCGCATAAGAACGCCTACCCCCGCTAAATTGTTCCCGTACCCCTGTGGGTACGCGTACCACACTTTGGGAAACACTGCCCTAGAGTGAATAGAAGCTACCCTCCCTGAAATGCTCTACTCTCGTTTCCATAGCAGCAGACGGCCTCAGACTTTGAGGCGGGGGGGGGGGAGTTCTCACTGTAGACAAACTATACAATTGTAATTCTTCAGACTCTTTCATCAAATATTATGTCAAATTGAAAACTGTTAGACAGAATGAATTTTTACCCATCATAGAGAGAAGCCAAATGAGGGGTTGTGGGACCCAGCGTCTGTTGTTGCAAGGCCAGTCCGGTCGTGATGGGATGCTGTAGGTGACTGAGCATGGATCCCACGGAAGCACTTTGGCTGGGTACTGCGGACAGTGTTTGAGATACAGTGGAATGAGGAGGTAGAGAAGCCTGTACACCCTGTTGCTGATTCTAGAATATTTTAAATTAGTTACTTACATAATTATACATATAGAAATTATACATAAGTAAATTCAAAATCATATGCACTTCTCAAAAGACAGGATGGTTTAAGAATCAGACTGCAGTGTATACATAATTCGAGTTTATGGAATTTTGGATACACAAGCAGTGTTAAGATTGCGAATGATAAGTAAACCTTTGCATAAATATACCACAAGTTACAATTACAGCCTTGGAAATTCAGTAGATAAATTTTTGCATAAATATACCACAGTTACATTAACAACTGCCACTTTGGAAATGTAGCAGATAAATGGTTGAATAAATATACCATAGCTAAATTAACAACTACAGTCCTGGAACATAACAAGTTAACTTTTGAGCACATTTGCCATAGTGAAATGTACAACTATAGCATTGGAAACTTCATAGGTAAACTTCAGAATAGATTCACCATAAATAAATGTACAGTTTCAGCCTCAAAAACGTGGCAGGTAAATTTTTGTACAAATTTGTCATGAGCTTTAATGAATGAAGATAAGAAAGTAACTCACAGGTATTTGCATTGTAGGTGTGAGCGTGAGAGAGGTTTCCGAGAGGTGCTTTAGAGTACTGTTGCTGTTGTACCCCATGTACTGTTTCAGATCACCTGTTGTTTGCATCATTGTGGGTGAAATGTCTTCTTTTCCATTCAAAGAGTTATCTAGTCAAGAAAAATAGATTAGTATTAACAAAACTTTTCTGAGTGATACACCTTGATTATACAAATACTAGGCTCTTGATTATATGTTATTGGCTTTTTGTTATTTGTTACTTTTTTTTTAAGTATTAGTTTGGTATTCCTCAGGTTAGAAAGAATTTTAATATTTAAAGGCATATATTTTTTTTGCAAATACATCACTAAGTTGACTGGTAAAAAAGAATTCAACATCTAAAACAATGATGTCTAAATTAAAATTACCATAATGGCAGTCAACATATCTTAATACTTGGGCGTGAGGCCCTTCATTGCTCACCCTGCTCTACAAGTCGCCCTTCATTCAAAAAGGTTGTGCAGCCTTATCTTTATAAATAGATTATAGTGTATCTACCACTACAAAAATATAATTCCAATTCACTAGTATATAAGACCCGTTAACAATATTCAATGGTGAGGTACCTGTTCATAGATGACAGTTGACATGGTCGATAATAACTCTACCCACAAAGATGTTTAAAAAATTTTGCAACTCCATAAAATTGGCATATATACATATATTTTTTTTAAAAGAAAGACCAGGTTAAAATTATCATTCTTAATAAGTAATTTTTTTAATGCCTGTAAATCAAATATCTGAAATTATCCAAAATTTTTAATAAAATAAGCGTAAGAAACAGTTATACCTGCATGCAGAGGTGAAGGCGGAGGTTCAGAGCCTGAATCGGGAGGACTTTCAGGGAGATTTACACTAAAACATAATGGATAGAAATTCATTAAAATATTCTATATATTTTATATTCTATATATATTATATAGAATATTATATATATATTATATATNAAGGAATAATTATTTTTATCTGTAGAAGTTGTGTTTTTATTTTATAACCATCGTTGAACAACCGATCCAATTTTCGGGTTTACTACTACTAATGCTCAACTCTGCAGCCTTGCAATTTTGAACCCAATCCAGAAGACAAGGGAACTACTGGATCAAGTAATGTGAAAAATTTGCCTTCGTGGAAGACTTTTTGATGGAACTAAACCACATTTGCGTTACACGGAGAGGAAAACCACTAAAACCTTCCACAGTTAGTCTGATGGCAACGGGACTCCAACCCACATTCCGTCTACTACTGAGGATATTTCACGTCAGTACTGTGGTCAGTGCAAGGCCGGATTCAGAATTCGTATGGAGTAGCCATCGCTGGGATTCGAACCTGGTTCACCTCATTGGGTACCTCCCGGTTTATTTATTATTATCCCAGATAGCAAAATAAGGTTTATTTTCACTCAACAAAAACCTTTTAATGTAAACCTTAAAAGGTTTGTAATGTGGTTTACGTGTAAACCTTCTAACCTTAACATGAGATCTGTGACAATCTGCTCTATTCAATACATATTAACCTAATCCAAAACCTTGACAAAAACAACCTTTTATATAAAAACCTTATATCAAGGTTGACTTAGGGTTTTCAAGCATGAAAAAATCCTTTACTAAAGCTAGTCTCAAGGTGAAATTAATCTTAAATCTAGGTAATTATAAGGTTTCTTTTTGCAAAGTCTTGTATGGTCAGCTAAAAGCTTGTCAAGAAATTTTAATGGACAATGCGATTTGATCTTATCGCTAGTGCGATGTCAGCTAGAACGTCATTATGGACTCTGGTCCCCGCTGACCCTTCCTCCGACCTTTGGGCGGTGTATCTGTAGACTTCAATTAGGTCTCAATTCTTATTAAGTCTCTAATTTAAAATTTTTTAAATGTTTGTTAAATCTACAATAGAAAAAAAAGGAGTCGTGGTGGCTCAGGAGATAGAGCGTTCGCTTTCTAATGAGGTGAACCGGGTTCGAATCCCAGCGATGGCTGCTCGATACGAATTCCGCAACCGTTTGCGCCGACCACCGTGGTGACGTAAAATATCCTCACTGGTAGACGGATCATGGGTTAGAGTCCCCTTGCCGTCAGGCTAACCGTGAGAGGTTTTCGTGGTTTTCCTCTACATGCAACACAAATGAGGGTTAGTTTCATTCAGTCCTTTATGAAGTCATATTTCTCCCAATACTTGATCCAGGAGTTCCCTTGTCTTCCGGATTGGGTTCAAATATACAAGGCTACGGAGCTGAACATTAGTATTAGTTGTTACATTCCCTGTTTATGACATTTTCCCATTCGTTTCTCGGGTTTTCGAATGTGCTTTCTTTGTATGACTTTCGCACCGATCTTCCGCTTTTTGTGACAGGGGATAGGGCGTTCCCCTGTCCCTACACGTTGGAAGTTTTCGTGGTTATCCTCTTCATGTAACGCAAATGCAGGTTTGTTCTATGAATTCCACCACGAAGGCAAGTTTCTCAGAACACTTGATCCAAGGAGTTCCCTTGTCTTTTGGATTGGGCACAAAATTACAAGGTAAACAGAGTTGAACATTGATAGTCGTAAACACAAAACTGGGTTATAAAATTATAAAATAGAAAGAAAAAAAATTAAACATTTGGCACTAAATCTGTTTAATTCAAAAAAATAATGATTTCTTTCAAAAACTGAAAAATATATTTCAACCAAATGAATCAACTGGAATCATTACTTACTCGAGACAGTTTTTAGAGAGATTATTAACACCAATATGATTTGAAGTGGAGTTGATGTCGATCAAGGGAGAAGCATTTCGAGAGAAATTTGTGTGAACAGTTGGAATGGTTCTTTGAGTTTTGAACGGAAAGTCAGATCGGACCAGTTCATTTTGAAAGCAGCTAGAATAGAGTGAGAATAAAATATTAAAAGTTAACTTATAATAACTTCATAATAGTAATAACTTCTGCCATGACAAACGTTGGGTGGGCATCTTTATCGTAAAACAAGAGGAAATTCCCTTTCCGGTGTTAACCCTTTACCTCTCACTCCAGTGAAAATGAAGGGGGAGAGGTTTCGCCCTCTATTTCTCGCTTCCGTGTTTTTTCCGGACTGGAGTGCTCAGTAGTAACGCGCCTATAAGAATAAAACTAATTCATTTCTTTTGCCCAGAAAAAAATTTATGGCAGTACCAGGATATTTTCAAGGTCATTGTAGATAGTTTATTTTAAACTAGATGTCAGTACTAATCATATACGTGTATTTGCGATTGGATAAAACTAGTAATAAAACTAATTCATAAGAATAAAACTAATTCATTTCTTTTGCCAGGAAAACATTTTATTTCTCATTTTACACACCAGATGGCAGTACCAGGATATTTTTATGTTAATTGCAGATAGTTTATTTTAAACTAGATGTCACCACTAATCAAATACGTGTATTTGTGATTGGATAAAAAACACAGGCACTTTTATGAACGTTTTCTTGAAAATTAACCGATCGTTAAGGGGTTAATAGCATTTAATTACAAAAGGGATGAACCCAACGCTTTTCATTTCATGTCTAAATAAATTATACAATAATTAGAACTACGCACAACAAATTACAATTTTTTCTTCTTCTTAAAATAGAGTATTTCGATCTATCTATATATATATATATATATATGTCCCGGCGAAAGACCGAAATCATATGTGATTGTTGACATTCACCGGTGAATGTCGTCTTTATCCAGATTTCGGTGTTTCACCGTAACATATATATGTTACGGTGAATGACCGAAATCAAGAGAATATCGACTTTCACCGGTGAATGTCAACAATCACATAGTCGGTTTGGTGAATGTCCGAAATATTTATTACATCCGATTTGATATTAATTAATTCGTTGATTTTATTATATTTATTCGATATTTTAATATCTGCTGAGGATAGATTAGAAGAAACATCAGTGTTCTGGAGTACCGGTTAAATGCATACTGGGCAAGAAAATGATAAAATAAAATGGAAAGTTCAAAAACAACATTTTTCAAAAATACTAAAAAGAAGGGAATAATTTTATTTTTCTCTGACTTAAGGCATCACTTTTGTAACAAACTTATCTATCACCGGCGAAAATTTCCTCCCACGCCTTTTGAAAATAATTAGGTGGAGCAAAGAATAAAGCTATTATATTTTTATATCCAAAACGCAAATTTCAAAATTTTTATTATTTATTATTATTACTTTTTAGATTAAAAAATAACTTTCGTAGAACATTTTGGTATTCAAATTATGCAGGAGTTACAAAACGCAAAATTGTGAAATAGAATTTTAAAGTATCTCTCGATAAAAAGAAAACATTGAAATTAATTAAGGGGGTGTTAAACAATACAGATGAGAGCAACATTACAAAATAAAAGCTAATATTCCTCCCTCCTCTTTCTTAAATAAAATTATTTTCTCTCTCCTTAAAAATTTCGTATTCAGTCCCCGGCCATATTATTAGAAGCACCATAAGATTCTATGTAAAATATTAATTATCAGGTGATACTCTATACAGCTTTATTGTTTTTACGTGACTGAAACCAGTTTACACTTGTTTACGCTCCAGTATCAATGGGTTAACATTGTAATGCAATACGTTAAAAATAAATACAAATAGGAAGTATATAAAAAATCTCCTAAATAAAAACCCATTACATGCAGGGTCGTTTTATGCATTAGGCACTGTAGGCAACTGCCTAAGGGCCCCGCCACGCTCAGGGGCCCTGTGCTACAGAGAAAAAAA